TCTCTGTCCCCTGTATTTACCTTACCTTATGCATTTACACCTCATTATGGAAATGAGGTGGACGGTCTTTCTTAGGTCAGCTCCTCTCCTATTGGTCAACAGGAAGGATCAGCCTGTGCAGATCTACTGTGCATTCTTGAGCTGCATCAGTTTAGCTTAAAATTTAAAGTTTAATGTAAAACAAAGGCAAGGAGAAAAGCACTTACCTGTGCCTTTATTTTTTATCTAAACTTTAAGCTAAACTGAGACAGCACAAAAATGCACAATGGATCTGCATATGGTTCCTACTTCCATATTATATATACACTCACCGGCCACTTTATTAGGTACAACTTGCTAGTACTGGGTTGTACCCCCTTTTGCCTTCAGAACTACCTTGATCCTTTGCGGCATTGATTCAGCAAGGTRCTGGAAACATTCCTCAGAGAGTCAGGTCCATATTGACATGATATAATCACACAGTTGCTACAGATTTGTTGGCTGCACATCTATGATGTGAATMTCCCGTTCCACCACATCCCAGAGATGCTCTATTGGATTGAGATCTGGTGACTGTGAAGGCTATTCAAGTCCAGTGAACTCATTGTTGGGTTCAAGAAACCAGTCTGAGATGATTCACGCTTTATGACATGGAGTGTTATCCTGCTGGAAGTAGCCATCAGAAGATGGGTACACTGTGGTCATAAAGGGATGGACATGGTCACCAACAATAATACTCATGTAGGCTGTGGTATTGACACAATGCTCAGTTGGTACTAATGGGCCCAAAGTGTGCCAGGAAAATATCTCCCACACCATTGGACCACCACCATCAGCCTGAACCGTTAATACAAAGCAGGATGGATCCATGCTTTAATGTTGTTGATGCCAAATTCTGACCCTACCATCTGAATGTCGYAGACCAGGCAACATTTTTCCAATCTTCTRTTGTCCAATTTTGGTGAGTTTGTGTGAATTGTAGCCTCAGTTTCCTGTTCTCACCTAACAGGAGTGGCACCCGGTGTGGTCTTCTGCTGCTCTAGCCCATCCACCTCAAGGTTCTACGTGTTGTGTGTTCAGAGATGCTCTTCTGCAGAACTCASTTGTAACGARTGGTTATCTTAGTTACTGTTGCCATTCTATCAGCTGGAACCAGTCTGSCCATTCTCCTCTGACCTCTGGCATCAACAAGGCATTTGTGCCCACAGAACTGCYGCTCACTGGATATTTTCTCTTTTTCGGACCATYCTCTGTAAACCCTAGAGATGGTTGTCGGTGAAAATCCCAGTAGATCAGCAGTTCCTGAAATACTCAGACCAGCCCGTCTGGCACCAACAACCATGCCAYGTTCAAAGTCACTTAAATCACCTTTCTTCCCCATTCTGATGCACAGTTTGATTTAAAAGTTAAATAACATTAAATAGCCATCTTCTGAAGTGTTCTGCCTGTATAAATAAGTTTTGAACTTTTTCTGCTTTTTCTGCTCTCMTTTCCTCCTGCTTCACAGCGGGTGTKGKTTCCAAAGATAGGCCCTCTCACATATTATTTGCTGGGGTGTTCAAATATGTCATTTCCCATTTTATAAGGGTGTCCTGTGAGTTTTGACTCACCCTGTAGCATACAATGCCCTGATTCTATTAAATATTTATAAAAGTTAAAACATGAAAGCAGTTACAGTAMGAACAGAAAACACATACGGTAAATACAATATATTGATGCACAGTCTACACCTGGATACAGGTTCTTTTTGTCCACTTCTATCTGTATCCCACTGCTTTCACTCTCAATTTATAATTACATCTTTATATCCTCTACATCGTGTCCGGGGTTAACATTACTCCGAGGTACTTCCAGCCTGGTTTCCTCTCTCCCTCTTTGGTTCCACCCTATTTTCTGTGGTAGGTTGAAATCGGTCCAAGCTCCAAGAGTCCTTCTGCAGATAATAAAGAAGAACAGCAGAGCAATAAAAAGGAATCTGAATCAACAGATTATGTGGTTATCTGGATTTGAAAACAGAAGCCTGCAGCCTAGTCCCTATGAAAAATTAACACGCTAATTAAATTATAGAGGAAAGCTGTTTAATATGAATCACTGTCTCTGAATTATTGTGTCTGCTTTAAAACACATTCATAATTAACAGTGTATCCTTTGATAAACCTGGGATGTTGAATATGGATGTAGGCTCATTAGCAGAACTCCTGTGCTGGTAAACACTAGGCACTGAATGCATTAAATCAATGGCACACAAAGGAATAATGGGGGGGGAAATTAAATATGGCATCAAACTACAGAAAACCTGCATTTTCAGTTTAATTTTTATTTTATTGCACATGTACAGTAAGTGTGCAGGTACGTTTTCCGTCATTCCTGTGTGTGTTATTTCAGGCAGTGGTGAGTTTATGGGAAATAATTTGCTTCATTGTGTGTGGGAGGCCTGAGGCAAACTGAAATAAGGCAACAGTCAGCAGCCACCGCCTCAGGCTACCGTCATATGGGCCGCTTTGACACAAAAACAAACACCTAACCATGGTTTGACATTGAGTTTCACAGTCATTTCCCCAACATGACTGCTCCCACTCGGCAGCATGCTGCAAAGTTAAAGGTTAGTCTCTATCTGAGCCTAACTGTTCGACTGTGAGGATCTAAGTTCAYTACTTCGACAGTGCGGTGCTGGAGAATCTCTCTGTTCAAATCATCCACTTCAAATTATGTTTCATGTTTCAAGCTCCTGCTGTTCACTTAAACGAGMTGCATGTGGTTGTTTACCTGTCCGAACAAACCAACGGTCTCTCCCAGCAGGTAGCTCAGAGCTACGCTGCAGTCCGATGATGACGACAGGAGGAGAAGTTGATCACCGTGTTTACATATCTCCAAATGGGTCACGTGATCAAGGTGGGGATGAAAACKATGCAGCAGTTTGGGGAGTTCTTTGGTAACTTGTTCCTCTGGCTTGACACAGTAATGCTGAGAGACAGAAAAAACATGGCCCGATCATTTTAATTTACATCATTAGAAATGTCTGTTTTATTGTGCTGTGATTTAGAACAGAAATGACAGCACTATATTTCTTTGTTTACTTAAATGTCAGTAAAGAAACACTGCACCAAATTACTGTGATACAAAATGTTTCAGGTGTAGGCTAATAATAGACTGCTGAACTAAAGTCTTATTTTCATAATAGATAAATAGCCATCATCTTCACCAGATGCTAATTTGCTGGACAGAAATTAATATTTTACTAAATCAGAGTAGTACRATTTTTGTTGGACGTGTAATGCTAACGCCAGCCTATCCATGCCAGTCGCTAGCCTCTCTGATGCTAACGCAAATCTCCTTGTCATTTGCCAGCACCCGGCCTCTCAGTTGCCAGCTGCTCATTTACCAGTGCCAGCCTATCATTAATCAGATCATTAGCTGGCTTAGGAATATATATAGCCRCCTTCWACAAGGATGTAGYAACCGCTGGTTGCACAACAGTCTTAATTTTGGCCCTCATACTGCACCATAATATACATCCACGGTTGAGAAATGATGAACAGAAAAGTAAACCATCATTTTAGATCAGGTCACTCKGAGACTTTATTAGAATCCTATTTAGCATAAAAAAATGAAAAAAAAAATACTGTGTAGAGCAGATCACACAGTCTGCCTGACCCAAGGACCTGAAGACGACTGTCAAGCGCCCCCCATATTTTTTTGGGGAAAAAAATGCAAGAAGTTTGATAAAATCCTGAAATTTTTCTTTATTGACAGCAACAGTTTCATCAGTGTTGGCACTGATGGCTGAGAAAAAGTATGAATAATTTAGATTTTTTCCCCCCATGGAAAAAGAATTAAATAGAAATAGTAACAGTTAATAATTTAAACATCTCTGGTACAAAGCCTTACATGTTATCTCACCTAATTGGATCATTTTCCAAAGGAGACATATTAATCAAGTGAAGGGTTTAGTATTAATCTRGGGCTTAGCGGTGTTCTTTGTTTCCACTAGCTACGCAATATAAAATTTAAGGGTGAGACCTTTTCGTAAATTGTGAAGTACTGTGTCTGAGCAGGCAAAGCCGTACACTGTGCAATCATGTTAGTCATCCATCCAATTCAAAAAGAACTCTCCAGACTTGCCACAGGACAAGATTTCTCCCAGAATACTGAGCTCGCCTAGCTTCTTCAACTCTGTTATATACATACATAAATCTCCATAAATTAAACTAGAAGCCAAATGAAACATAGCCATTTGAATTCATCCCCACTTATAAACTGTGACAGAGGGCTGAGCTCTGAATATTGTGGCAATAATACCCAAGAGGATGTTCTTTTACTGTGATTATGGGCATGACAGTGATGCAGCTCCGCCTCGTACCAGTAACACAACCCCAGTCTCTATGATGCAAGTCAAAAAGTCAAAAGGTCTCTCTAAAGGTATCAGAAAGTCTTCCTTTTTCAAACGTGACATCAAAATGTGATTGAATGAACACCTCCCTCCTAATTCCCCGATCCCTTTGGTGATTTATCACATGTCAATGTTCAATGTGCTTTTATTAAATATAAAATGTAAGCAGTGTTGCTTTAAGTCAAGGGTGTCCAATCATGCTTCTCGAGGGCCACAATCCTGCATGTTTTAGAAATTTCCCTGCTCCAATGCACCTGTTTTGGATTAATGGGTGATTAATAGGCTTTTGCAGAACATGAAGCAGTATATCAGTCATTGAATCAGGTGTGTTGGAACAGGGAAGCATGTAAAACATGCAGCTTAGTGGTCCTTGAGGATCAGGGCCCGTATTCATAAAACTTCTCAGAGTGGATTTTTAGACTTAAGTGCTGAAAATGTCTTAGATTCGCTCCTACTCTCAGACTTAAGTGTAAGTGCCAGTTATCAAAATTCTGCTCCAGAGGACTCTTAAGTGGTTCAGAGTTGCCACTAGGGGTCTGAGATGAACTGAGGAGACAGAGATTACAGCTGTCCTCCTCCCCACCTGAGTGTTATTCTCAGTTATAAGGTGGAAAACAGGTTTAATCAGAAATATACAAAAGAAACAAAGGTAAAAAATAAAAAACTGTGCATAATGTTGGACTAAAAGGCGGATATCTGTGTGTAGTTTTTGGAGAAAATATTAAATATAGGCTACTCAGCTGGTGAATGC